AAGAGAGCTAACATTCTTAAAGGAAAAAGTTGTTCTAAGTAACTATAGTTAATTTTTTTTACTCTATTTTTTTTTCTAATACTGTTTTTGTTATTATCTTAGTGCAAAGAGTGTTTATTTTTTAGTTTTTCTTTGCTCCAGTTTTGGTCATAGTAATTGATAGAGACTACTAAAAATATTGATAATATTACTGATCAAATTATAACTAAGGCTATGCAAAATTAATTAATTGGTTTTTATAACCCAGCCGGGTCAAAATTTGAAAACTTTTAAAAAAAATTTTTATATGTTTTAATAATCGAGTGGGTTTTAAAAAAATTTTTTATATAAATTTTATAAAATTTTATATATGAAATTTAAAAAAAAAGCCAGCCAGCTGAGTCTATTTTTAAAATTTAATATTATAAAAACCAAGTAATTAAATTTGTATGGCCTAATGGTTAAGGAATATTTAACCTTTTTTTTAGAATTAGTAAACCTTATTTTGCAAGAGAAAAATCTTTGTTTTGCAAAAATTATAAATACTATATACTTGAAAATGAGTCTGATATGATTTTTTTTCAGGTCTAATTTATATTCTAAACCAAAATTTTACCAGATATATATATTATCTTATTTTTTATAGGCAGGCACTAATAGAACCCTAAAAAATATAGTTTAATTCATTTTTAATTTATTTTTCAAACTCAAATTCCAAAATAATAAAATATTAATAATATATATATACTTACAATATTTAATTAATTAAAAAGTAAAAACATAATAGAGCTTTAGGTGTAAAAAGAAAAAAAACAAATAGTATTAATAATAATATTTACAAAAAACAAAACTCAAACAAACAATAAAAAAAAAAAATACTATATGTTTAAAAAAGGGTGCCTTTAAAAATGTAAAAAAAAAACATTTTTTTGTTCTTATACCCAAAGTGTTCTATAGAGATTAGTTCAAAAAAAAATTAAATACTTATATGTGAATCTATGTATAAACCACATCATATGATTCAACCAATCAGTGACATACAGTAATTACATATTCACTTCACTTCAAACAATATTGTAAATAAATAATACTATAATATCTAAAATTAGAGACACTAATAACTTCAGATAAGGCTTTATTTTTTGAATTCAGCTTTTTTGTTAAATAAGTCATTCATTCTTCCACTTGGTTCGAATTAAGTCTGAAGCTTGCTTTAGCTCCTAAAAAGTTTTGTAATATATGTCATAAATCAATTTTTTAGGCATTATATCTAGAAAATAGCAAACCTATGTTTTTAATATTTTTACTATAAATTATCAAAAACGTAATTTTAGTAGAAACATGAGTCTGTCTTTTCGCTCCAGACAATAAAATTGAATTTATTATTGATTTTAAACAAATGACTATTATAGATCAAAAACTTGGTTTGTACAAATCAAAATCAGACATAACGTGGTTTTCCAATTCGGATTTAAAAAACTCAGTTTGGCCGGGATTGAACCGAAACCGATTGAATCCGAAATTTCGGTTTGAATCCGGAGCTAATCCAAAGTATTTAATGGCTAGATATTTTAACATGGGCAACTTGGAATTTATATATTAGTGCAATGTGAAAGAAAAAACCGGACCCAAACATCAAAATTAGGCTTAATCCGGGCAATCCGAAACTTTTGGCCCAAACCGATTTTACGGTTCGGAATCCGAATCCGTTGGATCCGAATTATTCGGAACACTAGTAATAAAACTGCAATATAATTATTGATTAAATCTCAATTTTTTTTTTTTTTTGTGGGTGCGCAAGGAGCGTTATTCAGACAAGCAGAATAAAATCACTACTTTTTGGATTCTTTTGCGCAGTAAATATTGACATTCTCAAAAGTACTTTAAAGCGTATAAATAAGTTATCCGGACAATTAATTTGCATCAACCAATCATGTGAAAGTTCTTCCATCAGATTTTTGACCATGCAAAGAAATTGGTTTAATTGGCTCCAAATCAGGTAAAGGGCCTTGGGATTTTGATTTTAATGTAATTTATAGTTAAACATCAAAAGCATTCCTGTATTCGGATTTATTATTGTGATAAGTTTGAATGATTATGATAAATTCGCATTAATTAAATCCAAATTTACTTATCAATATTTGTTATTGTTATTGAGGCGTGAGAGAAAATTTAATCTGTGACAGACAGATCTGATCTAGAAAAAAATTATAAAAGGCTTGACCTTTTAAAGTCAGTATCTTCAACAATTTCGCAATTCATCAATTAACGACAACATGCCATCTATCGAAGTTAAAACGAATGTGAAGGTATGACGCATTTCTTGCTCTGCTCCAACCAAAATTAATTGAACACATTGAGATGCCAACACTGATATTCGATTATCCTATTACTTATTATAGGTAGCTGACAAACTAACCTTCCTTCAAGCTCTCACTGATAAAGGTGCTGAAATTCTTAAGAAGCCCAAAGAATACATGCAAATCATTCTTGAAGACGGGGTGCCCATGACGTTTGCTGGAACGTCAGATCCCACGTTTTGTGTTAACATCTTTTCGAGAAATAGTTTTTCTGATTTATCAAACAACACGACAATGTCGAAAGAATTTTCGTGCTTTATCGAAGAAAAATTGGATATCCCGCCTAACCGTGGTTATTTCTTCTTTAAAGACCCTGGTGAACATAGATGTGGATGGAACAACAAAACTTTTCCTTAATGCATTACAAAATTGAATGTCAGTGTTAATAAATAAAGACATAATGTACTTGCAAATATTGTACGATATATACATATACATATATATATATATATATTATATATATATATTATATTATTAAATAAAGTCCGCAGTAGCGTTGCGACCCGAACCTACTAGTTTGGGATTTGGTAGAATCCCAAATAGTATTTACTAGGTTTCGCAAAATGCCTCTAATTTGCCATAATGTCAAACATTCTTA